TCTTGCTTGGACGGCATTTTGACAACTGAAGAGTGAATTCCAAAATCAAAATAGGAGCAACATTCTACACACACACACCTTCAAAATGAGGGGTGTTCAGGTTTTTTAAATGCAAAATTGAAAGAAATACGTCAAGTTGATATTGACCAAATTTTGACCGTATCACCCTTTACTTGCATCGCTCATCAATTTTTTGCAAGAAATCTTCAGAATCATCATCAATCTTCTTTCTATCTACTCAGCGTGCGCGCAGCTAGCCACGGCAAAACACAATCTTTTTTGCATCGTAGATAGAGTCGTCCCCCTCGTAAAAAACATCAAATGGTTTGAAACCCGTTGGAAGGGCTTTCGGAACATTACCGCTACTTCCTGGTTTCTTCAAGATGACACGAGGTGCTATACGAGAGGCCTCCTGAGGCTGTTGCGGGATATTTTTGGATAACTCCTAGGTGGGGTTTTGAAAACGAAATGACTTCCCACGCCAACATTAGGGTCAGAGCCCTGGTCAACAACTGAGAAAAGGTCGAAGGGGCTACTACACGGGAGAACTCGGCAAAATTTAGTAACTGATCTTAGGATTTCCACGAAGGAACGCTGTGCGCGACCCTAATAGAAAATACCATAAACAAACGATAACCCCAATGATTGAACTATTCCACAAATGGTTTTAATGATACCCCGAACACGTCGTTAAGCAAATTAACCATACAATTTTTATTAGGGGAGCCTTCAAAGGCCGCTGGAATTTTCTCCCTGCTGTTTGTATCTTGGACAATCAGCGAGAGCATTTTGGGGAGGCACGACAAGAACCCTCGGTATGTTTCTGCCCACATTGATCACAGCGTGGCTTGTTACCACAGAAAGCCGTAGTGTGCCCTAGTCGCTTACATTTTGTGCAGTTTATTACCTTTGGTACAAACAAGCGCACAGGTAATCGGATCATCCCAATCCCTGTTGGATTTTCCTTCTTCTGAGGCGATGAATAAATCCCGCTCTAAAGCTGGGTTTAGACAGGGCAAGTCAATTGATCAAGTCAGTTGAATTCAACTTTGACCTTCATTTTAGTGGAGATTTAGCTTCAAAGTAGCTGAAAAGCAATTGAATTGAAATGCATAAATTTTACCGAAAAGTTCAGCTGTTCAGATTTCGGTAAAAATTACCGACGTCGGCGATAATTTCTAAAGGGCCACCCACATTAGATCCGTTTGCGTTGCGTTGACGTAAATTTGACAGTTAGACAATAGATTTAGCTGTCACTTTGCCGCAACGCGTCCGATCCGGATCTAATGTGCGTGGGCCTTAAGTGTGTAATCCCAGCTTAAGGGGACGAAAAAACGAAACTGCTATCTTCAACTTATCTCGACACGCTAGCACACACACAGTGACACAAATGGTGACGATGATCTTGATGTAAGGATGACGGTGACGGTGTAGGTAGTGGTGAAAACACAACGATGCTATGCGGCTGTGAACGGCTGCTTCACTTGAAGAGCGTCGCTGGCTGCATCAAGCACTGAAACTTGATCACTTTGGAATTGAACACTCTTTAAACGGATTACTGTGAACGGAGCGAAAACAAACTGAACCGCCTTGGCCGAACACTCGACTGAGAGTCAATGTCATAACATCTAACATGTGTAAAAAGTAATTATAAGGACTTTTTTGAGTGCCTTAAAATTGAAAAAAAAAAACTTAAAAAGAAGGGGCCACCAGGCTTGTGTAAACTCCTCGAACTCAGATTATGCCGTATAGATCTCATTTATCGTGAACTAGTTCATCCCTCACATATAAAGAGCAATGATGTCAAATCCAAAGAGCGCAATAGAGCTCGAGCTCAGATTGATGCTCAAGCTGGACTTCCACAAACACGCATCAGGATTTACATCGGCTCTGCTCAACAAACAACATTTTGAACTTCGGGATGGACTCGGTGAAGCCGTAAATATAGAGCTTCGTTATGCATTCGGAGAGAGCACGCACGGCTCTTCCATGATTGATGCACGGTTCTTCCATTCAATATTATGATACACAACAATACATTCAATGGACTATAGGACCATTCCCAGAGAACGTAACATTTTGAAAAATCGATGCTAAGTGCTTTATAAGTACATGAACGAAAGTGAGGGTCACATAACAAACCATTTTTTTTTTTTGGCTGAAGCGAAAGTGAAGATTCTAGATAGTGCTGGAATTAGGGCGTAATAGCCTTTGTGAACAATGACTTCTCTCGATGAATTCTAGGAACTCAAGGCACACCCAGGCAAACCAACATAACCATCGGGTAGGGTAAGTATTGCCCTACCCGATGGTGATGTTGATTTGCGTTGGAGAGCCTTAACTTTCTAGAAATCATCGAAAGAAGTCATTGTTTACAAAAGCTGTTACGGCCTAATTCCAGCTCTATCTGGAGATAACAAACATTGCCCTTGGAAATTGGATTACGCAAGTGTGACGTTTATCAGAAAGGTCAATATGGAAGAGCGCTACTTCGTCGTAATCGCCCATTTCCGTTCTATCGAGTAGAAATCATCGATAATATCAATGATTTCACCATGCACAAAACAATAATACGTTTGTTCCGATCCGTTAGTTCATAAGCCACAACATGAAGCCTATTACAGCGCCTAGGAGCTGAATGAAAGTTGACACACAAGGAAGAAGGATTAGTTTGTTTACTAAAATGAACCATGCGCATTTTGTTATGGCAAGTTTTGCTATAAGAAATGCTCCTCGTGTTTATATTAGCGAAATTCACATCAAAGATTGATTAATTGCGTAGGAAATCAGTTTGGCACGACATTTGTGACCAGCGTACACCTTCCGGTCATATGAAACAAGTCAAAAACCGTCCAAATTCGCCAAAAAAAAATTTGTTTTCAATTTCTGTATGGCAAAAGAGTGAAATTTTCGTGAACATTAACGGCAAAGAACTCACCAACACTGGGAGACCGTGAGTTCCTGCTCACCTGTCATAAAAACATCTCGGCCCAGCTTGAGCATCAAGTATAGCTCCGTGAGAACAAAGTATATCATCATCAAAATATGATGAAGCTCAGCTCATTGATGACTCTTGATAGAACTTTTGGCGCATCTCGAAACGAAAAACTTTTTCGTACAAGCATTCGTACAAAGAAAATTCGTTTCGAGAAGCGCAATGTGGCCCAAGTAGGGGAAATGACGGCTTCGGCATGACAGACTATTTTCGGCAACCCAAATTGAAACACTATTTTCACTGGATTTTCTTACGAAAACACTTCGCTGAATGCATGCAAACGACTCTTTACGCTTTCAGCTTCAATTTGACTATATTTTTACCACTGAGAAAAAGCAATCTAGCAGGGTTTTCTTGAAATGAAACACACGCACTACAAATTGTAGCTGATTTCGAGTTGCCGATAATAGAACAGCAGATTTACATGCAGTTCAAATGGAACGGTTGCCGAAGAAAAACTGGTTGCCGACAATACTCGCTCTCACTAGAGAATATTGGAGCTTTGTAAAAGCGTTTCAAAACAGTTTTTGACAATTCTTTCGACTGAAATTGTTAGAGCAGCTGGCAGCAAAAGAATGTAAACAAACCAATACTGCATATGTGTGCGTTCCTTAGAGAAAAAGGCTATAGAAAGAAGGCCGCTGCTTAGGTTGCCGAGAATACGTAAATTCCCCTATATAAGTGGCCGAAAACAGAGAAAATCGAAGGACGTATTTTTATATTTTTTCAGTCAAAACGATCGATTAAAAACGATTCCATTGGATGAAAAACCAAGGTGATTGCCGGAATCGTATGCACGGGAAGCTTCCAACCAGTAGGATCCCTTTTTTTCTTGTGCAAGAAAACAAATTCGTTCCAGAAGACACCTTCAACTAATTTCACACTTTTACGAAGCAGTAGTTGAAGCGCAAAGTTAAGCTTGCCATTTAGAAAACTTGGTTAAAACTTAATCCAATTTTTTCCGCCAAAAGAAGCACTACATCCCATCGTCACCGTCGTCGTAGTCGTCACTGTCTTCGGGAAGCACTTTAAAAGTGTCGAAGCATTACGGCGAAGTGAGGAGTTTTTTTTCCTTTCCGCTTGCTTCCAACCCAATGTGTAAGTACAAACAAACAAACAACCAACAAACTCTTTTATGCAGAACTAGCAGCAGTCCTGAAAAAGTTTGTAGGGTTGGATTGTTTTCCGCTGGAAAAAAAAATAACGAAGCAATCAGTGGATGAATGCACTACGTAGTGCTGTACAGGTGGTTCAGAAGTTAACGAATGTCAACATTTGAAAGGATACCATTTTACAACATAGCTTTGACGACCCGAAAAGATAAACTCATTTCATGAAATTGCCCCTGTCGTTACTATAAGATCACGTGGCCTACTAACAGTACATTAAAAGTATGATACACTGTAAGAACCCATTCGAATGCTACTTACTTCAAACGACAGTAAATCCAACAACGAATCAATCGGAACCGATTCTCATGACCCCCAAAGTGCCAAACCACAACATCCGTATAAAAGAAAGTCATTACATCCCATTACACCCCCCCCCCCCTCGTCTCACCTGGTCGACCGAAAAGTGCGTACACATTCAGACGTTTATACCACAGTTCAATCGCAGTACGTATGTCGTGAGTTATGACCTGACGATTAGACCCCCCGCCCCGCCCCGCTTTCCAACGCCTACCGAACAGAAAGTGGTCACCACGTGAAAAACGCGCCTCCTTCGATTTGATCGATTGCGTGCATCCGAACGGAAGGTGAATTCTTGAAAGGAACCGGTTACCATCCCCCCCACACATTTTCCACCCATTTCCAACTGGTGGAATTCCCACCGAGCGGAGGTGGGATTTATACCGACATAAATAACGCCCCGTCCAGAGGAAGATTTATCGTTTCTTTACATTGGATCCGTCGTCCGTCCGTCCATCCATCCATCCAACTCGAGCGAGAGTCACACGCAGCTTTTGCTAATTTCCGAATTTCGTTTTCTCTTCGCCCGTTTTCAGGACCACCACAAGGATCCAGGATCCGAGCGAACGGTGACACAGGAGCGAGCGGTTCGTGCAGCGGGTCAAGTCCAGTTCCGTAGACTAAAATGTCCCGGTGCTAGAGTGTGATGTGCAGGTAGGTAACCCACCTTGACAGGTTGCGCCCCGGATGAGAGCAAAAGGGCACCGCGCGATGTGTGCCATAATGGTGCGGTTTATTTCGATACATGTGTTTGTGAGTGTCATTTGTCACAAGCAACCCGCTAGTAGGTTGGAAAGGTCCCCCGGGGAGTTTAAGGCGACCCCCGGTACGTGTTTCTCTTCCACGGTAGCTCAAGACATACGACGGCAAGGTGGGAATGGGAAGCGACAGTTCCGCACTTAGGAGCACCTGCTGGAACAGGAATGTCATGTTTTCCCTCAAGCTAGACGAGGAAGCTTGCTGCTCCGTCTAGTTGGAAGGGGTTTTCCTAGGAATCCATTAAAATACACTGTTCCAGGGGAAGGAAAGTGAGAAAGTGGTTTGACTGAGCCGGAACGGCAGTTTTCCCGAAGTGCCAGCTATCGATAATAATCGTACAAGCAAGAAGTTTTGTGCATTACTGGCACGGTGCTTCAGAATGCAGATTTAGGTGGAATGATATGTTTTGAGCCTGAAATTGAAACTTTAGATTAAAAGTCTCTTCTACAAAGTTGTTCCTTATAGTTAAACCCTCATTTTTATGACAATGAATTCTAGGAGGGCCGTTGCTGGTCACCTTAAGTCTTCTATTAACTACAATGGAAATAGGCTGGAAATGCTCTATAGCAAGCCACATTCCGATGGGCCAATCTAATCTTATTGGTGAAAACCTAAACTAGCACCTCTGATGGCAAAGGAAAAAGTAAATTCCCATCAAAATAATCTAAAATATATAATAATATCTCATAATTAAAAAATAATAATGAAAAGATGATCCCCCTCCTAGGGCGCTCCTACAGAATGACCTTTCCAGGTTCCAGTTTGCACATTCTGCATAAATCAAATTTGCTTACCGAACGAAAACCAAGCCTCGGGAAAGCTGTGGAATCCCCCTCGACGACGATATCGCGTCAGATGGAAATGATTGGAATTTACTTCATCTTGAAAAGTGTGTTTGAAAGGATTCCGATCAACCTAAAAATCAAAATGGAGGGGAGGGGGGCAGGCTGCGGTGCCAAAGCGGAAAGTTCAATCCAATATGCAGATAACCGCGCGCTCGTACTTGTGCGGTCCTTCTCGCATCTTCCCCGCCTAGATTCCGTTGTTATTACGACAGCCATAAAACTGTATTGATATGCCCGCCCTCAGCTCAGATGGGGTCCATATTTTCTCTCGCTTTCCCGCGTGCTCCCACCTCCGTCCGGATTCCGGCTCCCACGGTGCTTTTTGTATGATAATGAAGTGGATCCTCGTCGACGATGGTACCGTGTTATTGGCGCACGCTTTTAGCAGCTTTTCTTCCCGGAGCGAGATCTGAGCGAGCTCACCCCAGCCTTGCGATGGGAAATCGTCGAATTGTGTTCATTGATTTCTGTGCTTTCGCTTTTCCGACTTTTTTTTTTTTTTTGCTCAGCGTTTTCTTTCTCTCTTTCTTTTGGTAAAGCGCCGGCGGAAAATTGGAAAACTCAGCTTCGGTTATTCTTCCGCCCGAAGGAAGTCGCTATCTTCCTTTAGCCGCCTTTGAATGGAACTGTGCCGGATTGAAAGGTTTGCCTCATTAGATTCAAAATGGCAGCTCCAATTCAATCAGACACGGGGGGCATCCTCGAGAGGTTAACCGGTCAATAAGTAGGCCTTTATAAACCCGATTGACGCCTGCTTTGATCCCATTCCGGGTCGGAAGGGAATTACTGCGAGAAAGCCCGTTTACAATTAAGCCCATCAGGATTGCGTGGTTGGCAATTAGCATTTGAGGGTTCTTTTTTTATTTAAATAAATAAAAAAAAAATATGGGATTTATTTGTACAAGATGCTATATTGCTATAAATAACAATTTGCTACCCTCGATCTACCTTCAGGTAAAAAATGAAAACCATTCGCAAAGAACTAGCAATTGATTCACTGACCTTCCGGCCCGGGGAACTGAAAAATGGAGTCCAATTTCCGTAGTTCACCTCCCCTTGCACATTTCCGTGTATTTTTTTTTTCAACGCATCCTCATAACAAAATATACGAACCGAACCGTGCCTGTTGATTTATTAATAGAGGTGACAACAAACACAACGCATGTCATATGCAGCATCAGATTCCACATGTGACCAGCACCGATATTTGACCACCATCGGTCGTTCGTCATCATCATCATCATCATCATCGGCGGCGGCGGGCCGCAATGAGCATGTCAAGGAAATGACATGGCAAAAAAAAGTTAAATGGAAAATCAAGACTGCTTTGTGTCCCTCACGGAGATGAAAAACTACCCAAAATTAAGTACTTTTCCCTCAATTCCCGGGTACAGCCCAACAACCCAAATTTGAGAAAATCGCATAAAGCATTAACAACATAAAAAAAAATACTTACTCTTAAGTATATTCTACCCAAAATTAAGTTTAATTCACGAAAATTTGATAATAAGTAATTTACTCAAAAGTAACTTATCGGGCTGAACTATACCTCTCGTTCCTTTTCTGACATCAATAACGAGTCCAAGTGAGAGACTCAACTCAAAATTAAGTTAAAAGAACTCAAATTTTGGGTAGTATTTTTTCTCCATGTACACTACATTTTGGATACGACACTTTGGTCAAAGCAAATCAAGTGTCAAATATGCAACCTTTCCTTTGGAAGATTTCATGGGATGACGTTTGGAAATATTTCATTGCTTGCAGTGTTGGGATTTGTCATTATCATCGACAGACTTCTGCGCGATATTGACAAAATTGTTTTACACATAGTCTTGATCCTCAAAAAAACCAAAATCTCATTATTTTTGTTTGTCAAGAATGAAGGTTCACCTTACAACAAAAGGTGTAATTTCGTGCATTCTGAGTCACATTATTGTTATCCAAGTAGTTCACAGCGTAAATGCTTGTTCCTAGGGGCAAGACAGCTGTACATTTACTCAAAAATGATCAAAGTAGTCTCAATTTTCTGGTCAAAGAAAATATCGTCTGACAGCATATTTGGTTTTCAATATAAACACAGTTTTCAAACATTAAAAGATTCAAGGCAGACCAGGGATCGATTGGTTAAAGTGTTGTTGTTGAAGATTTTTGATGTGGTGGTGTTATTTCAGGACTATACATGTTAGTACTCGACCAGAGATCTGTGAACATAAATAGTTTATCTTGCACAGTCTGTAAAAGATCCCTCTCATCTTTTTGAACTTAGCGGCGTCGGTGGTGTAGTGGTGAGCGTGATTACCTCTCACCCCAGCAGGCCTGGGTTCAATCCCAGTCGGCGCCGCCGGGATGTTCTGAGGCATAACATCTCTGATCACGCCTTCCTTCGGAAATGAAGTAAAGCCGTTGGTCCCCGGTTCATGAGATGATGGGTCGATAGGTAGGGTCCAGGTGTGGGAGCTGCCTTCCTGGCGTCGGTAGCATTGGTGCCCAGCACGGAAAACAAGATCGACGGAAAACAAATCAAAGAAAAAAAAAAAAATCTTTTTGAACTTATTTCAGACATGAAGAAATCCAACATAAATATTGAGGTATATCGTGAAAAGGACAACTAGGTTCTAAAGTTATAATGTTTAACTATTCGTTAGTACTGGCAAAGGGCAGTAGAAAGGAGAAATGAATGAATGCAACATCAAAAAGAAGAAAGCCAAACACATTTAGAGCGACGCATTTTGGGCGTCGCGATCATACAGTCCACAAGCTTTGTAAAGCAAATACCGAAATATAGCGCCGTTGAAAGTTTTTAATTCTCGTTTTTCCTCCTTGGACAAGCCGAAGCCAAAACAGTCCTTTTCAGGGCTATGAGTTGAGTTGGATTTCAGTCGAGCTTTTCGTTGTGTTCCTGTTGGCATTCCCACAGGGGGAATTGGCCAAATCAGCTGGAATCCTCCGAGCCGAGGATTGCCACACCATCTCCAGTGTCCGTGATCGGACAACTACAAAGCAACTATAAAACAGCATTCATAAAACTCTGGTCAAGGCTATTTTGTCATTAATGCATCCACTAAAACCTGATTACGACTAATATATGTCTAGTTGGCCCACCCTGGAGAAGTTTCTGAAGGGTGTATTCTCGAAACTGAGAACCATTTGAAAGCTACAACAAAAGCTATTTAGCAACAATAAAACCCCTTTCCGAGCCATTTCCCCTAGCTACTTGCTAAATTCGCTTGGAAAGCATCAATCAAGATAGAAAAGCCCATGCAAAACCTAATTGTTTTATGGTTGCTTTTATAATGATAGAATACGTTTATAAAGAATTTTATCAAGACATTCATAAACAATTTTTAATGACGTTTATGCTTGAATTACAGAGCAGTTTTAAGGAGGGATTGAGAACTGTTTTAAATTTATGTTTAAAACAAGGCAGTTTTTGACTTTCTTGCCAGACTATTAAAGGTTTTTAAAACAGCAAAAAGCTGAATTACTACGCAGGAATGTTTTACTTTTTGAAATGCTGTATTTATAATAAATGGATTGTTCATTGCCGTTATAAAACCATCATAAATCAGAGTGGATGCCAAATGGTTACTGAATTGTTACTTGGGAGTGTACGGTCACCTGACTAGAGATCATTGGGACGTACTCGAAATTACTCGTTGCTACTGCTGTCGACGAACGGTGACTGGTGTTTTCCGAACCGATGGGGAATGGTGGTTTGACTGCACGCCGGTTTGACGGGGCTTGTCATTCGTGTGTGGCTTGGAAACCTTCCAGGCATCTTCCCTCGTAGGCAAGGATTGACACGGCCTATGACGATATCGGAGTGACCGTGCCAATAGGGGCTCCCTTTTCTTTCCGGTTAGGGGTAACCTCCCCGAGTTTCAAACCTCCTTCGTGGTCAGTCGGACCAGAGGTTGGGATTGGTCCTTGACTGTTAGGCGAAGTGAAGCTTGATCTGAGGTCCTGACCAGTCCAAAATGGAGGTATCTGGTTTATAACACACGAACGCCTGATACATGTAACCGTTCTGTTACAAACCTTCAATTCGAT